GAGTGGAAAACTGTTCCAGTCCTAGCTCTGTAGCCTGGCTCTGAGATGTCCATAAAACCTGAAAAGTGATATTTCTAACGCGGAGTTCATTTCCCGTGTCAGTCTGACCTGTCTGATCTGATCCACCTAGTTCTCTATCCACTCCCACCTAGCACTGTCATTTGGAAGTTGTGGAAATATTAGGTTAACAGTGAGTGCGTCTACACAAGACTCTATGTTGCTATAGCGATGAGCTACGTTGCCATAGCTTGTTACTTTGGTGACGTAGTGTCAGCAGGCATGAACCATGATGCCCAAGCTACTCTGCCGTAGCAATGGGTTACAGTGCAGTAGCATCAGAAATAACGTGTGCAGCTTTGGAGCTGCACAGTAACGCTGGTTATTGCACAGTCATTTAGTATGTGCTTAAGCAAGCACTAAATGATTGTGTGGTAACAACTGTGCAGTCCAACGCACATGTAGACGCACCCAGTAAGATTCAAGTTTTCCTAAAATGCTTCGTGTCTTTTTCTCTGATAAATTAGGTACTGACTGGACCAAATGAAATGCAAGGGAACAAGCAGACCCACTTTCATATTCAGACTTTGAGGAAACTGCTCAGATTGGCCTCCAAAATCTATGGATTCTTGGACATACAGGGCACATCTACACATGCACTTTAATGTGCATTAGCCTACTTTAATGAGCATTAAAGTGTCACTAAAAACCCATGGGCTCCTATACATGTGCAGGGAGCCTGCTCCAACACACTGGAATTCCAGTGCGTTGAAGCCGACTCAAATAATAGAGTCTGCTGGAGCATGGAAATGAATGCACTCTAGTAGCCTCCAGCATCACCATGTATCAGTGTCCCCATGCTGAAAAATGGGGGTGAGGCACTTTAAAGCTTGTTTGATGAGCTTTAGTTCAAAGTGCCCCACTGCCATTTTTCAGTGTGGGGATGCTGATACACATGACACTGGGCGCTTTTAATTAGCACAGCTCTCAGAGCTGCACTAATTAAAGTGCCTCCCCCCTCCCAGAGCACTTGTATAAATGCCCCATACTAATTAGTTGAAGCACATTAAAATAAGCTAATGAGCATTAAGCATCACTAAAAAAACTGTGTTCTTTAGTTAATGCCTCACAATGGAGGTACACCATGAGGTTAATACCTAACAATGGTATTCAGTGCGCATTAACTAAAGTGCATTAATGCACATGTAGACATGCCCACAGTGTCCCACATACCATGGCTGCAGCAGTCATAACCAGGAATGTGACATGAGAAAGCAGAGACAGGTCCAGAGGGGGTGCAGTTGAGCAGATAAACACTTTTCCAATTACAGGGTGGGAACAGCAACCAGGGATTTTTTGTAAGTCACCAAAAAGTAAAAATCCCATCTCCTTATCCCATCTCTTAGCACTCCCACCCTTCTGCTCCCTCCCCAGCAGCACTTCTCCTCCCTCCTGTTCCCCTGCTCTGCACTGTTGCTGTCCTCGGCTGATCCAGGAGTGGGAGGCTCCAGAGTTGCTCCAACCAGGAACAGCAGCAGTGGGTTCTTCTGCACTGACCAGTCTGTGTGGGTGTTCCCTTCCAGCTCAGGAGCAAGTACAGCAAGTACAGAGTGGGGGAACCCATTTGCCATCATTGTTGCTGTCCCCTGCTAAGCCTGGCTACAGCTGCACTGGAATCCTCCACCCCACAACCCTCCCAAACCACAAGCTGAGGGACAGGCAGGGAGGAGGAACCTGTCTGCTGCTGCTGCTGCTGCTGTTCCAAGCTGGAGCCAGGCAGGAGCAGCTGTTGAGACCCCTTTTCCCCTCCCACTCCCAGATCAGTTGAGGACAGCAACAGTGGCAGCACAGGGGCTGGTGGGGGACCGGGAGAATGGAAGGGGAAAGGAAGGGACAGGCTGCTGAGGCCAAAGGGAAAAAGAGTGGGTGCCAAGTGCAGGGGGCATGAGATTCTTACCTTTTTGGGGACTTATAACTGTCCTAGATCCCATGGTGCATTCTGTGGTGTGGTCTGAACTGAATTTTGCTGGTGAAATACACAACATCCTCAAATAGAATTTCCTTATACTTCTCCTAGCCTTCCTCTGTACAGTGCTATATTATTTCTTTCTTGATGTTCAGAGTGCCTTAGAATGCATTGTTTATTTCATTACAGTGCCAATTACTCCTTCTAAATCATTAATTAAAATGTTAAATAAAACAAAGCCCAGTACTATTCTTTATGGTTTCTCACAAAACCCAGTCCTTCAGCTTGATTCTTGTTCTCTTCTGGCCTATTCAACTGTAAGAAAATGTGAGCTGTACTAATGTTTTATCAACCACTAATGTATGTTATGGATGCAGACTAGCACCATGACTGATTTCCAGATCCTTTGTGCATGGGATGAAGAGAGATAGACTGATGGTATGTCTATACTGCGGTCACTGCTACGATTGCAATTTTTTTAGGCAGACATTCCTGAACTGGCTTTAAAACTAGCCAGTTCAATCACCACTAGCAGTGTGGTTGTGGTAAGACAGAGCTCAGTATGTGTTGCAAAACATACCAGAGTATCTAATCAACTTCCAAGGTAGGATTTTTAGCTTGCCCTGAAATCCATTTTACCATAGCTACACTGTTAGCCCTACTTGATCTGACTCATGCAAATCTACATCAATTATGTCTATACAATATCCTTAATGTCTCCAGGGGCTAAGTGGAGGACACAATGTGAAAACTGTTACACAGTTTAAAAGGAATGTACTGTGCCTCTCCAGATCCTAGTCTCAGATGATAAGGAAGAAGTTGAGCATGGATCGCCTGCTTGAATTGCTCTTGGCACTCTGACTGCCTGGCAGATGGTACTTCAGGAGCACAACAGGTAAAATCCTAGTGGTACTGAAGTGAATGGCGAAATTTCAAAGGGCCAGGATTTTACTCCAGGTGTGTGATTAGGGTATTCCTTATGTAAGAGGGCAGGCTGGGGGTGAACTCCCAGCACATACTTCCTCAGCCCTTACACGTTATTCTGCCAAGAAGGAGCTGCCAAAATATAGTTCCATATAGGTCAAATAAACATTTTTATTTTTGCATGCACACATAGGTTTCTCATATTTATTTAAGGGTGCATCATTGTAACGCCCTTTAATATACTGAGCACTTACAAGACAGCAGGTATACAGGGCATTGGGGTTATGCTTATACCTCAGTTTAACAATTATATAACTAAAAACTATTATAACATGCAACTAAAACTGTTCCTTACAAACTTTGACAACCCTCCCTGAACATTTAGTAGTACAGGGAACATCTGCTTAATTCAGATCTGGTTGTGTATTTTCAGAGATAGATACTATTTTGTTTTGGAATTCCTAGTCTGTTCAGCTTCAGTTCTTTGAACACAGGATTTTTGCTTTCTTGTATATCTTGTTCTTGTATATCTTATTCTTGTATATCTTATTTTGCTTTCTTGTATATCTGCAGTGTCCACACCATACACTAATCAGGCAATCTTATTTGCATACAATTCTTTAAACATGTAGTCATACATGTCTAACATACTCATATGAGTTTTGGAAGGAGGGAGTTGTATGGGCTTTCAGATTAAACTGTGTATATTTTCTTTAAAAGGAAGGGAGGCTGTGAGAGATTTCAAGGAATGGTTAAAGAAGTGTTATAGATTCATAGATAGATTCATAGATATTAGGGTCGGAAAGGACCTCAGCAGATCATCGAGTCCAACCCCCTGCCCCAGGCAGGAAAGAGAGCTGGGGGCAAATGACCCCAGCCAGGTGCTTGTCCAGTCTCCTCTTAAAGACCCCCAAGGTAGGAGAGAGCTTCACCTCCCTTAGAAGCCCATTCCAAATGTTGGCCACCCTTACCATAAAGAAGTTCTTCCTGATGTCTAACCTGAATTTGCTCTCTGTTAGTAGTGGCCATTATTTCTAGTTACTCCAAGGGGTGCCCTGGTAAACAGCATCTCCTATCCCCCCCACCCCACCCCCCGGATGAATGTGTAGAATGGATTTGTTATGGATTGGGTTAAAACTTATTGAAATTGGAGAAAAGAGAGGAACCACCATCCTTCATTCAAGATGGTTTTAGGAAGCCATTAAGCTTCTTTATGGAACTGGGTAGCTGAAAATATAGGAGCCTCCAACCAAACTACTGACACGTTACCATCCAAAGGTACATGTGAAGCCATTCAGAGATTTGGTCCTAAACCAAAGGTACATCAGGTCAGTCACCCAGGAGCATGAGACCAAAGCAAAGATGTGTGGTTGCTTGGGAATTTGAACTATATAGGAGGGGCTTCTTCGAGTGCTGTTTAAGCTAAGGTTATGTGAGACAGAGAAATACTACCAAAAGAGACAAAGCAGGTATCAAGGAAATAACAGGCATGGCAAAAGAAACACTACTAGTGTGATCCTGAGTAAAGAGCTCTAAGACTGCTTTTGGGTTGATGCTGAAAAAGACTAGAAGTGTGAACACAGAAAGTAGTTGTTGTTGTTAGATCCTCCACCGTTGGAGGAAGCCGGACTTTGTACATTCTTCCTATGTGCACAGGGTTGCATCCAAAGAATAACTGATTCTACCCTCATCTTCTCCAAACAGAAACAACACAGAGTACCCCCATTTTCAGTGACCATGAACAGTGAATAAAAGTAAACCAAACAGTTGTAAAAATGAAAACTTTTATAAGTGCCCTGCAAACTCCTAATGTTGCTCTTCCATTTCATTATCAAAATAACCAAAGAGCAGGGATTAACATAATACTGGGTTCCAGCAACTCTTTCCTCCTGTGATGCAGAAGAAAACTATGTAATACAAGTAGCTGCTATGTGTTTGCTGTCAGATCTTGAAGCTCCTGATGGGTCTGTCATAAAGATCTGCTGCTTTTTCCCCCCCGTTTCAAAGGCCTAGCTGAAAGCTTATGTTTTTTGCATGTTTTCTCACTATATTGTCCCATTGCCTTTAAAAGGCTAAATGTTCAGTACTAAATTTGGTCATGAAGCTCTTCAAGATTCCCTGGAATGTCCTCAGGTTTCAAACTCCTCTGATACAGCAAACCCCGCCTCCTGCCTTGCCTGATTGGTTTTTCTCAGCCAGGCTGTGCAGCTGTTGAATTTCATTGGCCAGCTGTTGTATCAGTGAGTCCTCTCTTTCAAACCGATATATGCTGGGGGGCAGTAAGTCAGAGCTCCTTAGATTTCACACTTCAGCACCTGCTGGCTGGAGGGAAGTAGCTTCTGTTCTCTCTGGACACTGCTTTTTCAGACGCTGTCCTACAACTTCACCAGTTTTCCTCCACCCTTTGGCTTTACATACTGCTGCACTTGTATTTCAGTAGCAAATTGCCAAGATGTCTAGGGTAGCAAAGTACCGAAGGCAAGTCAGTGAAGATCCAGATATCGATAACTTATTGTCCACTCTGTCTCCAGAGGAGATGGAAGAACTGGAAAAAGAACTGGATACAGCTGATCCGGATGGGAGCATCCCTATTGGACTCAGGCAGAGAAACCAAACTGACAAACAGCCAACTGGCCTGTACAACAGAGAGGCAATGCTCAACTACTGTGAAAAGGAGACAAAGAAACTTATTCAGAGGGAACTGTCAGTGGACGTAAGTCACATCTGCCAACATGTGAGCTGTGACCAGGGACACTGAGAAAAAAAAGTGATACACCTTTGAACGCCAGTGGGCTGTTTCAGGGTGAAAAATGGGAAATAATAAATGTGGAAAAATAGAGTGTAAATAGAAGCAGCTGCCATGTAGGAAAATGAGCGGCAATGTTGCAAGGCTGCGTGCTGAGAGATTTAAATGAAAGATTTATTCAGGGATTGGCAGATGCTTTGAGAAGGAGACAGGGATTTTTTTTTTTCAAATCCAAACATTATTCATAAGTACCAAAGCTCTGGCTACATAGGGGATTTTATATCTGTTTTCCTCTGATAGTCCAATATCCTTCTGTAGGTTTTTCCTGGGAGCAACTTTTGCAGCCAGAACATATCTCCCAGAAATAAGCTCAAGTTTTCACAGCATTAAAAACAGTTCACAATGATGTATTTCCTAATGTCTGTTTCTATTTTGTGTTTTAGAGAATTCCATTGCCCCGTTGATATTATGTGGAAAAGTCAGAGAAAGTGTGCTAATCTCTGGAAATCAATATACAGAATGGGTGTATAAGAAAGTAACAATAAGGCCTTTTGATTCTGGATGTTTACTGTAAACTAAAGGTCACTCTTCTGTTAGGATATGGATTTAATTATGCAATTTTATCTTTGTTTCTCCTTTTCTATAGCTGGCAAGCCTTTTTAGTTTCTCTGAACTAGCACTGTGAATTTTTCTCTTTTAATGGTTTACTGTAATCCCTGATTCTGTGGGGGTTTTGTTGTGTCCATCTCATTCACATTTCCTTGTGTGTAGCTTCAATGCAGCCCATATAAATTCTCTGTAGCATTTACTAACTCAAGTATAGAACAATTGTTTTATGCTTGAAGGTATGGAGAAATGCTGCCTCATTGTGTTTGCAAGTTTTTCTGTAGCAAAGTGGACTAGTATCCAAAAGTATGAGACTCTTGAAACTTAGCTGTCTGTATCTGCAAGTATCCGTGTCCCAGGCCTGATGGCCATCTGCTGTAAAGGAGAATACTGAACAATATAAACAGTTTTAGTAAGCACAGTAGAGACTTAAATGAATACCCATTTTAACAGGTTATCCTGGCTCTGGTTGCTTTGCTGAGTAATCAAGCCCCAAACTAAATAGTAAACTCTTTGAAATAGAAGTTATATCTTCTTATGTGTTTGTACAGACTTGACCACAATAGAGCCCTGATCCTGCCTGAGGTCTCTGGGTGCTGCCAGAATATTAAAAGGAAAGACAAGAAGATAATTGCAGGCATAGAGGCAACAAACAAGATAGTTTTGATACCCAAGCAAAGAGTTAAATGTTTCCCTTCCTCTCCACTCCAAATGCCTTGGATGTTTCTAGGAGTTTTATTCTTACCTTGGTGTGGCCTGGCCATCTTTTTTCAGCTAAGTGCTTCAACACTTGTTCGACTCTACAACAACCTTTTTGGGATATTCTATATAGGTTAATGGGCCTCTTACCACTGCTATACTTCATTGTTTAGCTGCTACTGATATGAAGCACAGTTGACCTTGGCTCAGCACACCTAGGTTTGTTCTTATGTACCAACTGTCATATGATGTAAGGATGTGTTTCTTCCACCTCGACCAGGGTGAATTAAGAATATACTGGGACCACAGAACAAATGATCTTAAGAATAGCTCAGTGACACTGAAGATAGTATTTGCTAGTGCCATGTAAGTAACCCTAGTTCTCTGTCAGCATTCAAAAACTGACATTCAGAAAGCTAAATATCCAGACAGGGAAGGGAAATATTCTTTGGAACGGCACAGACTGTGGAGTTTTGGGCTTCCTCAGTAGTGTGGGGCGGAGACCTTTTCCTATGTTCCTTTGTGCACATATTATCCACCTACTTCCCTGACATTGCAGTGGCAGGGCATTGGTAGAGCCCTCCTCTCCCTTGGTTTTTTACCTATGACAAAATATAAAGTGTTCTTGGTGTTTGGGGTATTGTTCCGTGAAATTGTGGGTGGGGGATTATGTGGTGATTATGAAGCTCACCTGCAAACGTAGGGGCACCTTCCAGTCCTATGTTCCTATATATCCTCACTGGTAACATGATGGGTTTCAAAATTGGAAAAGTTAGAAAACTAGAAAATTTGTTACTTTCAAACGTAAAGTTTAGCCTTAGTAAAGCAGGTGACACAGACCTATTCCAGTATTTGAACATGTGTTGTGGGGAAAGGATTTTATGGTGGGACGGGCAAGGTTGTTTGACTGTTTTGGGAATTCATTTTTCAGAGTAGAGATGCCCTGTAAGGAAGAAAGAGAATAGCGAAGTCCTTCTCTGTGGTGAGAAGAATGGGGCTTAAATGTAGGCTTTTAAGGAGAGTGCTGCTTTCTCTCTCTCTTTGCCCCTTGGTAGCTTCAGGATATGGAAGACAAAGCGTATTGGCTAGTGGTTAAGCTCCTGGCAAAACTAGCTCAGATAGATTTTCTTGCAGTAATTAGATATTTGCAGAGCTGACTCTTCTTCTATTTCAATCCCTGGAGGGAGAGAAAAAATATCCTCTGTACTCCTTCCTTCTTCTTGGCATTGTTAGAAATTGAGGATTAGCGCTGGTAAAATGCCAGTGCCCAACACTAGAAGTTCAGTCAGTGCCAGCATTTTAATTGTGCCTTCTGCTCTGTTGTGGGGCACATATATTAGGATGGTGGACGTAATTTCAACTTTCTCATTGGCCCTCAGGTTTGTCAGTTAAATAACAAGTCACTTTCCCTTTCTATGTATAGGTTATCATGTATATCAAGGTTGTCTAAGATGTCACACAGAGCATATTTGCATATTATGTCTGGAAACAGGTGTAAAGTCACTTAGCTTTCAGCTTTGTGCCTTACAAGTCTGTCTGTATTCACCCTATATGCCCTGCCCCATGTTTCTGATTAAATACATCAAGCAAAAAAATTGCAGGCAAGAAACAGAATGGTAAGCATGGGTGGGACAGACAGGCATAAGGATCAGCAAGAAAGGGCTTTAAGATTTCTTCTGGAGGTAATAGCCATTCAAGTTTGTTAAGATTTTATCATGTATGGGAGATGAGTTTTCAGGGACAGGAAATGAGAGACAAGTTTTCCTTCTTTAAACTAGAGCGTGTGTCTGGATCAGAAATGTTGTACAAAAGGACCAAGACTATTAAATACCCAGGGAATTTCTTTTCTAGCTTCATGTTAAAACCTCAATCTGCATCATATTATTGCTAATCAGCTAATTTTGCAACAGCATACAAACTGTGGGTCTCTTGACAGATAATACAGAGCTCATATAAACTCTACAAAGCTTGCCTGCTTTTGTTTAACATTCCAGTGCCTTTAATCAGGATTACTGAAGGAAGGAGTCTGTTCCCTCTTTGCCTGGGCAGAGACTATGATTCTGACGTTATCTTAAATATGAGCCTTTTATAGAGATACTGACCCAGCTGCTTGATCTAAAATGAGATCTGCCAGCTGTGTGTAGTTTGTGGGCATATTGTGTTCTGCTTTTCTGCCCCTCACCTCTGCATACTCTGTTCTGAGCTGGCAGGTATTACCTTGTATAAGAACCTACTCGGTGACCACTGTATTCCACCTCTGTTGCAGCCCTTATTTGGGAAGAATTAGCCACTTTCCCTGGATCTGCTGAAGTACAGAAAAGCATATATGGTATTCTAAGGAAAAGTTTCAGTCCTGCCAATCCAGGAAGTGTCTCCAGTACTGATTTTTGTTTTCTGAGGAGATCTTTAGGACTAGCTCGAGACTCCCAACTCCCCGCTAAATCTTGGAGGAGTGAGTATATTTAGAAGTATTTTAACTACATAATAATATGTCTTCCCTCTCTGTGATGAAAAGGGCAAACTTGGGTAACCATGAAGCTGTTTATAAACAACCCAAAATAGAAATGAGCTTCTTCACAGCTCCTCTGCACTGGGAAGCCAAATCTATATCTTGGTTATGCACTAATTAACCTTTGTTTCCTGTTGCTAGTGAGTGAAAGTATTCCCCAGTTCAGTCATTAGTCTTAGGACTAATGCACTTCAAAGACACTTAAGAGGACCTCAGACCTGAACAGAGATCCATCACTATGTTGGAAGCGGTGGCAGGTGGAGGAGGGGCTGGGGCCTTTAGTGAAATTAATACTGTCTAAGAGAAATTTAGGTCACAGCCCACAAGTAGTTACATAGGGAGCAGATTTCTGATAGCAGACGGTTCTGTAATCTAGCAGACAAAATCTTAACAAGGTACAGTAGTTGGAAACAGATGCTGAAAAAGTCAGGCTACAGATAAGGTGCAAATTTGTAAGAGTGAAAACAATTAACAACTGGAATGAGTTACCTAGAGGGCACGTCTACACGAGATCCTTTACTGCGCAGTAGACTAATCTAATCAGACTAATCAGTAAAGCTTCACTATACAACCATGTGCTGAGCTACTTCGCAGTAAAATAGGCTAATGTGGAGTAAACCTGTTACCCGTATTTACAGGATAAGGACCCAATCCCCACATGGCAGGGAGAGAGATCCCCAGCTGGAAGGACAGCCACGTGGGGATTGGGACTTTCCCAATCCCTACATGGCTGCCAAGCAGTATTCCCGCTGAGTGTCCCTGATGAGCGGGGATGCCCCTCCTGGCCACATGGGGATTGGGTCCAATCCCCGCATGGCTGGGATGCCAGGACAGCTCTTCCTCCTCCACATAAGGCTTGGGACCAGCCCCGTGCTCTCTGTCAGCCCTAGGGCTGGCACCCAGGAGACCCTGGAGCTCCCCCTGGCTGCTGCAGCAGGGCCTAGCATGGCAGGGGGCAGGAACATCCCCGATCTCAAGTGCTCTGGTTGGGAGCAAATTTGCTTCCAAGCCAGTACATGTGTAGACCCTGTCCAGGGAACAGTTTACTGCACCTTATTTAATGTGCAGTAACCCTACTGTGCATTAATAGCGCATGTAGACATATCCAGGGAGGTTGTGGATTATCCTTCACTTGAAATCCATATATCAAGAT